ACTACACTCAAACGTAAACCTACAAACTGATGCCGTTTGCACAGCTGTTTCCTGAAGGTCTCTACTAAACCCATCTAACGGGAGAACTCTCTACTATGTCTACGAATGGCAGCGCGCTCTCAGTTCGGTTTTTTTTTGGGTCCCCCTCATACACTTGTGCACTGTCAGTGCACAAGTGTATACATGTGGTGCAACCTTGGTCTAACACTGAAATAACTAATACTTAATCTTTTATCCCTGGATAGATATTTAATTCATTTATAAAATGCTACAATAATAATAAATTAATGCATTTAATAAAATAAATAAATCACAGTTACCAAATTCTCCAGATTTCATCCCTCTGGATTTTTCCTGTGGAGTCACCTAAAAGCATCAGTTTACAATGCATATCTAGTAGCATTGCACAATGTTGGTGAACTAAAGATATGCATATGAGAGGTCTGTGAAATGGTGACATCCATAATGCCATGCTCAACTGTCTACATCTTAGTATTGTCACTGAAGACTGTCAATTTAAACATGTTCTCTAACAAAATAAAGTTCACTGTCTTGTATCAATTTTTACAATTGTTAGGCTGAGTGATACTTGAGCTCACGTGTTAAAAATATCATAAAAGTGTCAAATCAAAGGATTGAGCTTTGATTCTAATGCTCATAAAAACTGGAAGAAAAACCTAAATAATGTTGGGAAATAATAAAATTATTAATCGAGAGAAAAAAATAAGTTTTTAAATAACCTTATAAGAAGATATAGCGCTGAGATTATGTGTCAGACTTAAGAGAATTTGAAACAATTAAATAAGAGCAGAAGTTTCAAGGTTTGATTAATTTCCCTTGATCGGATTAAAACAGTGTCAAATTAAACCTTTGGTAGCTCGAAATGGTCTGTTATCTGCCTAGATACAAGAAACTGACCAATCAAAAGCTAGAGATCCAGGAAGAGAATCTTTTAAAAATCTGGATCTCAAGGACAAAGACAGACTTTTCCCTGCCTCCCAATGTGAAGTTAACTGTGCAGACTTTTTCCAGCTTCCAACTGTTAAGTCATTTGACCAGACTTTCCTTTGCCTCCTGTTGTGAAGTTATCTGTCTTGTCTTCTTCCCTAACGACACCATCTGGCCTTGAACTTCTGGTTTTCACCATTCGTCATTGGACTTCCCGACACCATCAAAACATCTCGACTGACCACCCTGGGGCCATTGACTCTACAGTCCAGTGCTTACAGTTGACGAGAAGCACTAGATTGTAAGATTTAGTATAAATAAACGGGTTTCTTTGTCACTGCTGTTATTTACCTCACTTTCCTTCACCCTACATACAATAATCCTGACATTTGGATATCACCAATTCAGTGATCTCTCACAATGTTGTCTTTATCCTTTACAATCAAATATTATTTATATGTTATACTAAATTGTCTTAAATTGATTTCTCTTTGGTTATTTTAGCACTAGAACAGGCATACATTTGTGCAATACTGAAAAGATCTTTTGCATCAGGACAGATGTTTAAGTGGATAGTCTGTATACAGGGAGACCATTTTTTTAATTGATTCAGTGGTATAACTCAAAAATAACTCATGCTACAGAAAATTGTTGTATCAAAAATGTCAGACTTTGAAAAGACCATAAGATGGGACTATTAGTTTTGTTTAGATGGTGCTACAATTGGTGAAAATAGGTCAATTTTATTTTCATCAATGGAAACTTCATTTTTTATTGCATATTCTGATTCTGTGTAAAAAATAAACAAACTTTATCTAAAACATTTTTTTCAAAAGATGCACTTATCAGAAGAAGTGGGTATTTGAATTTTTACACAGCCACCAGATGGTGCATGCATAAATCTGTGAATATCTGTGAAATTTGCTGAATAAAGGAAGAAAATTCTTTAAAAAATGTCATTAGGAAACAATTATTATTTGGTGGAATCAAGATCAATGTCATTTCTTTATCTCAAAGTTGGTGGCATTAATATGCTATGGTACTAGTTTTTGTATAAGTTCATTGTTTATAAAAAAAAAAGGAATGATTTCACCAAATAATAATTGTTTCTTAATGACTTTTTTTTTTTTTTAGCAGATCTCACAGGATTTAAAGATTTATGCATTCACTGTGTGGTAGCTGTGTAAAACGTCAAGTACTCATAACTTCTGATAAGTGCATCTTTTGAAAAAAATGTTTTAGATAAAAATTTGTTTATTTTTGATGTAGAATCAGAATATGCATTAAAAAAATGGGATTATAATTGAATAAAATGAAGTTGACCCTATTTTCATGAATTGTGGTATCATCTATGATTAAACCAATAGTCCCATCTTGTCTAATATTTTTGGTGTAATACATTTTTTGTAAGTTGCATATTTTTCTAGTTATTCTATTGGATTGATTAATATGGTCCACCCTGTAGATGTATATTTTTAATTAAAATGTTTTGAAATGCTATGCATTCTTACCAATGAATATGTTTTCTTAGAACTTATTAGAGCTCAATTTAATACATTTATTACTAAATAATACTATTACTAAAAACTAGTTTACACAGAAGCTTTACCACTAGCAATGGAAATTGAAGCAAGTAGAATAGGAAACTAGTAATACTCAAGACAAAATAGATTGAAAAGAAAATTTTATGTTAGAGGAAAGGAAGCTGAGATTTAGTAATCACTCTAGTAATCTATTATGGAAAGAAATGAATACAGGTATACCTCAAGTTACGTCGTTCTTGATTATACGTCGTTTGTCAAAAAAATATATGAAAAATAAAAATCAAGTTTAAGTCATTTTATTCGACTTTAATTCTGTCTGCCACAAATATTGAAATTGTAATATCACTAGAAAAGTGTTAAAAGCACATAAAATCATATTAAAATACATACATTTACAGTAAATGTTAATATAATCATCATAAATTGCAGAGAACGAAATATGAAAACATCTGTGACTCTGTGTTGTCATCTTATTTAGCAGTCTTTAAGAGCTCAATATTGGCATTTTCCACAGTAGTTCCAATATCTACTGTTTTGCGTCATTGCCGGTGCCACTCGTTATTGATAAATTTAACATAAATTATTATTTTTTACTATTGCAAAATAATTTTAATAACTGTATTTGTTATTTAACCTTAAAAATCATCTTATTTTATAATGTCTTAGAGCAAACCACATTCACAAATAGAGTCCACAATGAACTGTAAACATCACCAAATTGTAAACATGTATATTTACAAGTATGTACAGTGGTTTTTTGTATAACATACTTAATCCGTTCCAGGTGCATGTCCATTAAGTGAAAAGTCCATTATACAAAACGCATTTTCCCATAGAAATACATGTTAAAACATATAATTTGTTTCGCAGCATAAAATAACCGTACTGTACCATAAAAAAAAAAATGAAAATGGAGCAGTCACCAATTATGCCTTGTAGTCAGATGATGTGAGGAGGAGGTGAAGGAACACTTTATTCACACATTCATACAGATACAGACTTTTTACACATTGCAGCAGGTCTCTTTTTACTGGTTTTTAATCGGAGTCAGATTCAGGGTCAACTTCTCTTGTTCCATCCTTTGTCTTTTGGCAGCTGGCTTCTTGAAAAATATGTCCAAGGTGGTCTGTTTCTCTCTCTTCTTCAACACCTGTCGGAAATGATGGGCAACGGTGTCATTGTAGAGATCATTGATCCTGTTAGCCTCAACTGTGTTTGGATAATGAGTGTTTGTAAACTCCTGAACCTCTCCCCATTTTACAAGGAAGTTTTTGTCAACTTTCACTCCTTCTGATGATTCCTTGCTTTGTTTCAATTGAAATCACCTTTGTTTTTTTAGAAGCCATGATTTGCACAACACTTGAATAAATGTAAATACCCTGCACTGATGTGATGTACTGTACATAATAAACAAGGGAGCAAGCCGAATCCCAATGGGAGCTCTGTACTTCAGATATACTAATAATATATTCTAATAATACTAATATATTATAAAAATAGCAGATCGTCATTGGCAACAGCAAAAGAGTGGAAACAGCATTCGCACTTGTTCGCAGAAAGTCCATTGTTTGCCTCACGTAACTGCCAAATGGAAAGTCCGTTGTTCGCAGCCAGTCCGTTGCTCGAGTCACATAACAGCCAAACAGAAAGTCCATTGTTTGCAGTGTTTGTTATTCGAGGCGTACGTTATACAAGGCACCACTGTACATGTATTCGTAAATTTAGATTACTTTTTTTTCTGTACTATATTAAAAATTAAAATTTATTTGTAAGCTTAAAATAAATTCTTATTAATCATATATTATTAAAAATGCATTTATAAATAAAATACAGAACTGGGAATGGTTATTTTGTGGTTCAGCCTAGTGATAAGTAAATTTGGAGACAAGTAAATTTGACTTGCATTGTTTTTCGACTTAAGTTGACTCTCCTGGAACCAATTACCAATGTAAGGTGAGGTATACCTGTAGTGCATTTTACTATACTGCTATGTTCATTAACTACATAAATACATGTGCTAAAACACAAATACTAGATAGTATTCATTACTGCAGTATAAAGTCAAGAGTCAAATTACAGTAAACTAGCCATTTAAAATAGAAACATTAAAAATTATTTCATTGCCTCTTATCCATTTTTATTTTGTTAATCTGTCTACAAATAATAATAAAGTTTACATTTTTGAATATGCAAAATGTATGAATATGGATGAAATTTCTACTGAATTGGACGTACAGTACATTTTTTTTTGTAGAATTAAAATTAACTTTATATGTGTAACAAATCTGTTACCAGTATATTAAGTTAATATTATTAAATGATGATTATGAACCAAAAAAAAAGAGATTTTATTAAGCTTCTCTCATCATTATATTATTTTCTATAATTATTTTATATAAGTAAATTTGTACTTCTAAAGTTATTTCAGTGAAAATAATAATTAATTTTCAAAAATATTTTAAATTTAAATAAAAACTATAATTGTTTTATCGTTGTTTACTTTTCTAGGTTATAGCTGGTAGTATATTTGAAGTAGTATGGTCCAATTTAAATGATGGTTCCTTTGGTTTGTCAGTATTGAGAGCATTAAGGTTACTCAGGATATTTAAAGTTACAAAGTAAGTGTCTCAATATTATTATATAACTGTTATTAAAATTTTTAGTGTGTATACTTACTTTCTTGAAATTTATAGGTGAATAAGGCATTATATATACCCTATTTACTTGATTCTAAGATACACTTTTTGTCTATTTTTACTTGTCTAAAACAGAGGTGCTTAAAGTTGATGACATTGAGGCATACTGTATGCAGTGCTTCTAGTGTCATCTAGTGGACAGGATATATTGCCTTTCTAAAGAGGGTTTGTGTGTTGTTATACATGATTTTTTTAAAAATATTCTGAACACATGCATTGGATGGAGATAGTGTCACTCTGCTGAACTCATTATACTAGGTCTCCATGCATTATGTTGTTGACACCACAATATTCTTATGTTTGCAGCCAAAACAAAAATCAATAGTCATTGACAAGACTACTGACTGTTGATGGTGAATGCAATGTGTAGTCTAATCGTTGATTAGACCACATGTTGCATACATCAATCAAAGACATTTTGTCGATATTTTTCAACAGAAATCAGTTTAGATGAATTTTGATAGTAACAAGCATTTAATTCAAACTTCTTTTTTAATGTTTAAATATCTTCAGTGACATTATGATGTATGACAGAGAGTTATTGTATATGCAGAAGATCATGGAAATAGCATTAAAGCCAAATGATTGCCAAATTATATCAGGCTATATTATTGCTACTATTATTAATTAAATGCTAAGTAATTTGGCATTAGAGGCAGGCATTAGGCACCATCTCTTGCTAAATTTAATAATTATACTTAAATTAATTAATTTAGAAGAAAAATTATGGGTGCTTGGATTTGGTATTCTTAGGGGCTTTGAGACTCATAGGTATGTGGGTAGTAGAATTCCTAGGGCAATTAGGTGAAGAAAAATTTTCTTTCACAATCTTCTAAATTAATTAAAATATTAATTTAATTATAATTATTAAATTTAGCAAGAGATGGTGCCTAAGGCCTGCCTCTAATGCCAAATTACTTTAGCATTTAATTAATAATAGTAGTAGTAATATAGCCTGATATAATTTGGCAATAGTTTGGCTTTAATATATAACTATCAGGTTTGGATGTTTATATTTGGAAATAGTAGTATTGCCCAACATTATTTATTTTGTGATATTTGTGTTTTTTTTTTAAACTTTTTAATCAATTTTATTGGGTTCAAAACTTTATAAAATTGATTGTTTCCTTCCAATTAAAAAAATAAAATTCAATTTCAAATTTATGGTGCATCTTAAAATCAACAGCATTGTACAATCAAGGAGATCAGTAGATCATCTCAAGCAAATACCTATGTTTTCAGTATTGAGCATTAATTTCAATAGTTGCAAATAAAATTTGGCATATTATTATTTATTAAAATTTTACTTACTTTGTTTAATTTTTTAAATTAGTATTTAAATTGTACAGGTATTATGTAAATGGCACCATAAGTTGTTTGTGCAAAAATAAAAATGAATGACTTTTGAATTGAAATATATGACATAGCTCAACCAACATACTTTTCTTTTACTAATTAACAATATTAATTAAAGCTATAAAATTCTGTAGAAAATATTAAAAACCAAAATCCATCTTTGATATTTTTAATCTAAAATTTAGATTTAAAAATAAAATTAATTTGATAGATAAACAATATATGATTTAATAAATTATTAGTTCTTATAAATATTATTTCATAATATTAAATTATTAAATTTTACATTGTGACACAGAAGAAACAGTGACAATTTGGATTATGATTATTTATATGTTATGCAGTTTAAAAATAAAGTATCATTTAATAATTTTGTAATTTATAAAGTGGCCTTGTGCAGACTATTTGTATTGAATAATTTGACATATTTAAAAAATAATTCTACAATTATATAATAAATTCAAAGAGAAACTTGTTTTTATCACTTTACTGATTATTATTATTATTTTTTTCTAGATATTGGTCTCCATTAAGAAATTTAGTCATTTCCCTTCTCAGCAGTATGAGATCTATTATTAGTTTATTGTTTCTCCTTTTTTTATTCATACTCATCTTTGCATTGTTAGGAATGCAACTTTTTGGTGGATCGTAAGTATCATTAAACATAAATAAAATTAACAGGATTATTAAAAAATAAAATAAATTTGGTTATTTGTTTTTGTATATATATATTAAATATAAAATTAAAAATTATAATTAATGTTTTTATAAATGTAATTGACTTAAAAATAATTATAAATAATTTTATTAGATCATTAATTAATGTAGTATTTTATGTATTTATATATTATAGTATTAATATATAATCAGTCTTAAACTGAAAGACTTTTAAGAATGAATATGTTTGATTTATCAATACGAATAACTAATAATATAAAAAATACACATAGTTTTAATTGATTATCATGCAGTTTCTTTGATTCAACTTTTGTTAAATAAAAATAGAATGAAACCTTGACAACATAAAGAATACAACTTTTTAATAATAGTAAATAATTACTTATACAGTAGAATATGTTTTTTATAATCACTTTGACACTTAGATATACTGATAAAGTTAAGTAGAGTAAATAAATAAAACTACAATTAGTGGAATTTTAGAAATTGTTGACTCTGATATTAAAAGTACAATAATTAAAAAATGTATAATATGAAGATTTATTAATTATTATTTAGTTAATAGTAATTCATCTAGTGTTATATGCTTGCTGCTTTTTGGAGCTGTCTTTTCTTTAACAAAAGTTAGCATGTAATTTAAGTAGTAAATTCAGCAGTTTAAACTACTGTCAGCAAATGATAATTGGAATGATTAATATTTAAATTTAAATTACTGGTTAAGACTTGTAATAGTTAATTCATAACTACAATGGAATCTGGTTAACTTGAATTGGTCAGGAAAAAAAATTTGGACTTTGAGTTTAAAAATTTTGAGTTATGGAGGTTTGGCTAAAAATCAAGATTTTGTGCATTGGTTTATTGGTGACCCAAAATAATCCATACGACATTTCCATGGGTCTTATTACGTAGAATCATTATGTCAATGTGAATCTCTTGGCATTGTCCATAAACTCAAATGCTTAACCAAATGGGTAAATAAGCTGCTGCTAATAATGTTTTCTTGAATGGTAGATCCATTCACTCCTAAGTGTTTTTATAAGGATTTTTTTAAATTGCAATATTTTGCACCTATCTTTTTATTATTTTTTTTATTACAAACACACCAGTCTTTATGGTGATTATATTTTTAAAAATTTGCCACAGAGGTTAAAATTTTTACATAGAATCAGACTATAACCATTTATTAAAATTAATTTATNTGTGTGTATAAAATATATATATATATATATATATATATATTTGTTTCATTGCTGATGGATTTTGCTGACTAGCCAACATCAACATAATAAATCAATTTTTGATAAATTAATTTAAAAAATATATATATTATGTAGAAATAGTGATAGAAATATAGAACTAGAAATGACAAATGAGCATTCATAACCATCTTCAAATTATAGATAGAATGATAATGTTCTAGCATCTGTAACTTCTTTACTCCTCTTTGTGTCGTCACCAACTGTCATCTCCCCTTACTCATTTCTCTCTCCTTTATCTCCCTCATCTCCTCTATAACCCCTCGTTTATTTTCTTAACAGTTTAGGAATTTTACTCTTCTAATCCCCACATACATATCTGAAAAAGGAGGTTCAAATGGCAGTTACAGTATCTAGGTCACACACTGTCAAGAAGCCACCATTCCCTGCCTGCCATCACATGATACAATGTTCATTTTTAGTTGTATGTAGTTCCTGTGCTTTATTGGAAGTTTCCAATCAGTTTATTCAGTAGATGAACATTAATTATTTTATGTAATGGAAATTAAAAGTAAAATTCCAAAGAGTTTATGAAACTACTGTATCAAAATTCCATTTAATTTAAACAGATTGACAAAATCAAGTTAACCAGTTTGATTTAATGTATAAATTCCTACACTGGACACGTAAGGAAAGAAAAGACTTTGAGTATATGCAACTTTAAGTTAACCAGGTTCCATTGTATTATCTATGAATATGGGGGAAGTAAATTTTGTATGAGGGAAGTATAGACAGTAATATAAAAATTATAAAATGTGGAGCTTATAGTATGTGGCCATTACAAATATTTAGAAATGAAATTAGTCCATGATGGAAGAGATAATTAAGCAATAAGAAACAGGAAAAACAAGGAAAGGGAGTTTAAGAGGCTAAATGGAATCTGGTAGCATGCCAAATCAAAAAAAGAAAATGGGATATATTTAACACCCTAGTGAGAAATACTTTAAATTACATATTATATGGAGCAAAAATGTAGGGAATCTCAAAAAAGATGAAAGAATGCTGGCTAGGTATAGTTGAAATAGATGCACTGCAAGGTTATAAAGATTATTATATGTGCACAAAATAAAAAAAATGAAAGAAGTATATTAATGAATCAATTAATGATGAAATAGAAAGAAAGCAGTTAATATGATGTGGTTATGTGAAAATACAAATTACCAATAAACATGGAATAGAAACCACAAAAATATGTGCGAAGTAGATTGAGAAATACTGGAAACAAGGTATATAAAAAATGATGGAGAAGAGAGATAAGAAGGAAGAAATACATATTAATAAAACAAAGAAAAATTATCTGAAAATCAGAATATAAGATTATATAAAGTATGTATAAAGTATGTGTTTGTAGAGAAAAAGTGATTATACAGTAGAGCATCGATTATCCGACCCCCGATTAACTGCCACATTGGTTAACCGACCGTTCTAGTCGGCAAATTCAAATGTCCGCTACTGATGTGGCGCTACAATATTTGGCTATGTCTTGGCTACTTTAATAGTATTTTTACGTGTTTTAGCTGGCAACATGGCTCGACCATGAAAGGGTGGCCAGTATTTAAATGAGGCTTAATTTTCTAAATTTTAACAAAACAATAGCGACGATTATTATTTAAAAAAAATTTTTGTTAGGCTTAACATCAATGAAAATTCGACGCAAAGTAGGTTAATAGCGATATACTAATATACTAATTACATGAGATATACTAATATATTATACTAATAATCAAATAATGTATTTTTTCATATTTTTCGGTTATCCGTTTTTTCAGTTATCCGACCAACCCCAGTTTCCAATTGAGTCGGATAATCGATGCTCTACCTTATTTACAAATAACAGAATTTTATAATATTGCACAATATATTTTTTTTTTTTTATCCACCTGGCTGCTTCTTCATTCCATGCAGCTATTAAAAATTTTTGGGGAGAACACTGTATTTATTATATTATATTATNATAAGTAATATTAATAAAATATTAATTTTATTATTTACGTACTTTTTTATTATCAAAAATATACTTTAAATAATAAAAATTTTTATATTAGGTTTAATTTTGAAGACGAAACACCACCTGAAAATTTTGATACATTTCCCATTGCTCTTATCACTGTTTTCCAAGTAAGCATATTTAATTTTAATATCTAAATTATTTTATTTATAATAAATACTAAATTATCAAAACTTAATTTTTACACTTGTCTTCCAGCTTATTTTATAAGTAGTAGTAATAGTAAATTTTGCTTTACTTGAAAATTTTACTATAAAAATACTCATAGAATAAAGTTTAGTATTACTTTTGCATATTTTGATTTTTTGCTTAATATTTTTATTTATTTTTTCCATTATATAACTTGATTCTCAGTTGTATGAAAATTAACAAATGTCATTTAACACTAAATGATAAAACTGGAAAATAATCAAGTATGATTCAGTAACCATATATCTAGTCCATCAGGGTAAACATTTGAATGGCATTTTTTTCTGCTGCCTAACTAGATATAAGGTTACTGAATCATAGATGAATCATCTCTGCAATTATATAAATGTCATTTAAGTGTTATGTAGTCTGAATTCAAATTAAATAATGTAAATATTTTAAAAACATATAATTCAGAATTTGATTCTATAGATCATAAGATTATACTTGTAAAGTCCAAATAGCAATTAGACATTTACCATCTATTATTGTTAAATTACATGAAACACTAAAATAAAAAAAATTAACAATTTCAATAATATGCTATAACTAGCTGTTATCTGCGACTTCGCTTGCACGGATTTTGCAAGCAAACACCATTTATATTCAGTATTTCAACAACCATAGTAATTGTTATACTGTATAACACCTACTGCTGAGAATGATGAATATTGTTGAGAATCAAACAAACTGTTTTCAATTTGATCAATTTTCTAGAACATTTACAATCATTCTATAATCAAACCAATATGCAATAAAAAATTTGAATTTAAAACAGTTCGAACATTTGGTTAAAAATCAAAATATATAAAAATATAACAATGTCTGAAATGTTATCAATTTAATACACCTAAGTACTCAATGAAGACTAAACATAGTTTCAAACAAAAAATCGCATCTAAAATAGTACAGTAGAAATCATTCTTCAGGTTAAGGCTTAATTTAATCCTCTCCCTCTTCCTCGTGAAAAATCTCTTCTTAGTATGCGTTTTCATGACGTACCCTAACTGTGTACCAAATTTCACCTCTTTAGGTTCAGCGGTTTGCTCTGGGTGATGATGAATCAATCAGTCAGATAGTCAGGACAAGTAATTTTATATATTTAGATAATTATATCATCAAGAGAGGTTAAAGAAGAACTGAAAATTTTTTAATTTGAAACATCAATTGCTACATTATAGTAATCAATTTTAGAAATGAATTAGTATTTCCATTTTTTATTAAGTAAAATAAATTTATGTATTATATAAAAATATAAAGTTTAACTACAAAATATATTGAATAAAAATTATGTATAATGTAATATAAAAATGTGCTGTTTATTAAAAATAGTTTATTATATTCTATATTTAAACTACAGTGAACTATTTTTAATAGATAGAAAATATGCACATATCATTTATTGATGAAAATCAAATAAATAAATATAAACAAAACCATCATAAGCATAAAATATGACGTTTTTAATAGAAATTAATTAACAAAAATCAAATAAAATGAATGTAAACTCAAATTTTTAATTTAAAACTTGAAAGTAATTAATTCTGATATTTTAAAGTGATTATTATGCAGAAAACTTTTAATTTTTACAGTAAGTGATCTTATAAATTTTGGAATTAATAATATATAGTATTTAATTCTGAAATTATATATATGTTACTGTGAAAGACCGAAATTAGAGAATGTCGATATTCTCCGGTGAATGTTGACACACACAAAATACGTTGGTGAAAGATCAAATATTTGGTTATATTATTATACATTCAAACAATCGCTGGTGTATGTCGACAAGCACAGATAAACTTTGGTGGAGGTCAAAACAACAGAAGACTACTATTGAAACCAAAGAACAGTTTGAAGAAATAGTTAATACTTTTGAAGAAAATTTGAGCAGTGGCCATAACAAATACCATATTCCAAAGGATAATATTGAAGAGGAGCTGCAACCCACCATGTGTTCATATCAAGCCCTGACTGAACAACACAAAGTTATTTCTATAAAAAGAGTGGCCGCGAAAGAGAAACTTCTACTGCAAGCAACGAAAATGTTACAAACCTCAAAAAGAAAATTTCTTCCTGCTCAAATTGGTGATACTGTATGAATACAAGTCTCTGATGTTGACCGTGACTGTACAGATGCCCAAAATGTGTTGGCGATTGTTGTTGGAATAGAAGACTCTGACTTTTATAAATTAGCAAACAAAAATGGTACCCTCAAGCAGCTTTATACTTGTAGTCAGTTCGTAATTTGTAAAGAAAAGTTACTCCATAGATGTGATTTCTTCTCAAGAAATATCGCTAAGAGAAGCAGCTGCAGCTAATTCGAAAAGTGGAGAGCAAGGCTATACACGCTGTCATTGCAAAAAGAAGTGTTCCACGAATAAATGCAGTTGTAAAAGCAAGGGACTTTTGTGCAATTCAAAGTGCCATAACAGTTTAAGCTGTTGTAATAAATAAGATTGTATAATATTAATCACATAATTTATGTGTAAGTTTATTATTGTATTATTTTCTTTAATGATTTAGAATGTACTGTTCGTTTTAGGTTTAACAGTTTATTTACATGTACTGTTACTTAAGCTTTCTCTTATTTTACACAGGACAGACGTATTAAAAAGTTGCATTTTTGTCTTAATGTAATAAAAATATTTTTATTCAACATTCACCATCAGTGCATGCTAAATGTCAACATTTGCCAGTGTAAGTGAGAAATAATATTTAGCAAATATTTTGTACATACACGAAACGACTGTGTGAATGCTGACATTCCCTGGAGAATGTTGACATTTGCCAGATATTGGTCATTCACAGTAACATATATATTATATATAATTTAATAATAAGTATAATAAATATAATTACATTTATATTATATATAATTAATAATAATTATAATCATTATCTGTTTTTAAGAACCTCACATGTTTAAAAATTTCGTATATATTTGTAAAACTAAAGTTTAAATATTTCAGAGACATTTAATTTCAATAAAAAAAAAAATGTAGTTTAGCTACTCATTGAAATTACATTTTTTTATTAATATAAGTAGATTGAATATTTTTAATAGTATATTTTATTAATCAGTAGTAAAGTACTTTTATACTGTTAGTTACTCTTGTCATTTTGTTATCTCAGTAATCCATTTTAAAAAGCTTAGCTAATTTTAAATTTTTTATGAATATGATTGAAAGGTTAGGAGAAAAACTGAAGTGCAATATTTGACTTTTGTACTTATAATGGTTAATGAAATAATGTTATTTATTATACAAATGTAGGATATTCAGTAATTTATAGATATATGTTTAATACTAATCCTAATGACTGGAAGAATAGGCAATGACTGATTAAAATTGGCCATTCTTCATTGTATTCAAAGGTGCAAATTTTCTAGAGGTGGCTAAAAGTTGAAGGAAAGGTATCATAACGTGTCACTATCAACTATGAGAAAGCATAAGTTGATACTCTCTCAGGTCAGAAAGTTGATATATAATGCAGTTTGATGAGATCATTCTCAGGTTATTTTCCTTTGTCTTGTTTGATTCTTACACTAACAGGATGGCCATATGGAGTTTTCCTATTTTTATAACATCTAAATAGGAGCCAGTTTTCTATAGAAATTCCACCTGGAGCATATTGTCTATGAGTTGCATTGCTGAATCCCATCAAACCAAACCAAACCAAACCCACATATTGATAGTGTTTGTCAGAACTTGAAAACTTTCAATGGTTTGTTACAAGTCTCATTGCCTGATAACTGTGTAAGAAAATTGTAAAATCCATGTTCAAATTAGCTGAAAGTCACATGCAAAATAACAAGAAATTTTGTGCATTACCTAATGTAGTTTTTTCTTTTTCCATACACAATTAAACGTATAAAATTTTTGATAGAATGCAGTTGAAAATTTTTTTAAGTGAGTTTATTTTTCATTCATGGACAAGGAGTTCCATCCACAAGTGAGAAATTTTCTTAAACAGGAACATTTTATATAGGGAAAATGTACATATCCCTTACGGGGAAAAATTGGGAAATTAAACTTGTTACACAGGAAAACTTTTAATGTAGGAACTTCTTACTTAGGAAAGTTCTGCTGTTCATAAAAAATTTAAACTTGTATGTATTCTTCATTATTGTTTAATAATCTTTACTTCATCAATAGTTCAAGTATAAAATATAAAATTTGTTTACATTGAATTATTGTTATAGGCTATGACTTCATTGATTCTAAGATGCCATTGGTTAATTCTAAGACACCATGAATTTGAGATTGAATTTGAAGATATTTTGAATAAAGGAAAAATAAATATTCATTTGTATTACATTTTATATTAAGTATTAACAATGTAGAAAAACAATATAAATTTCATGAAACAGGTCATGTTTGACAGCTCCAATTCCATGATCAGAAGAATATACATACTAGTTCTTCATTTGAATACTGTACCATAATGCTATCTTGAAGGCTTTAAAAATGTTAAAAAATAATTTAAATCAAACACTCCTTACAAGAAAAGCTTATTTGAACTGATGTGACTGTTGAGTAGTACAGCTAAAAACATTAAATTATTAGTGCATAATGCCTACACGGTTTACTCGTGATAACTACTGATTGCTGTTTTGGACTGTGAATATAAGATACCATCAATTTTAAGATAAATTTCAATTCTGGACAAGCTGGAATAGGTAAAAAAATGTGTCTTAAAATAAATAAAATATGGAAACATTCAAATTCTGTTTTTAAATTGTAAAAGTGTGAGTGGATTAGTAAATTTTTTGAATAATCAAATCCTATTTCAACTGATTTTCATTTATTTAAAAAAAAAACGAAGTAATTGAATCATCTAAAAAAAATTGCAAAGGGGAAAACTTAAACTTTTCTATGATCTTTGGATGGTAAAATTGGAAAGATTCTTAAAATGTTCAAATTAAATTTTTTCTGAAAGACTAAAAATGAATGATTATGTTATTGTTTTTTTTGCTTTCATAAGCACAATTAAATATAAAAAGTAATTAATAATAATTTGTAATATATAGATGTAAGTACAATATATATGATAAATTCTATATCTTAGATCCTCACAGGAGAAGATTGGAATGAAGTAATGTATAAAGGAATTGAATCACAAGGTGGAATCAAAACAGGAATGTGGTACAGCATTTATTTTATTATACTCACATTATTTGGTAACTGTATCCTTTCTTGTTTTGATTTTATAAAAATTAGTATTTTAATGACTCCATTTCTTTAATTTATCGAAATTATTTTTAATAGTTTATTTTTTAAGCTATTATTCAGTAAATTTAATGTAAAGTACTTGCAAGATGACTTTAGTATTATCTTCAGATTGGATTTTTTTTTTCTTTTTAATATTAAGAATTATCAAAACAATAACAGCTATATTAACAGATTATATCATATATTTTTCAATTAATTTGGTCTAAGCAATATTGAATAACAAAATTTTAGAATAAAACAAATTTGAATTTGTAAATTTGACCAAAATGATTGATCATATTTTAATATTTTTTGCAAAGTTAATATTATATGTAGAATTGCTTCTCATAGGGCTTGACACTTCATCTTTGAAACCTTTTTATTTTTTTGGAATTTATATCATTATGTTTAAAAAGCCAGTGATTTATTCTATTAGTTATTAATAATAAGAATAACTTATTAATAATAAAGCAGTAAATGTGAGGACTTCATATTAATAATTTTACTTTAATTTTAGATTTATATTCAAAAATAAATTTTGACTATTTTAAATGTGTAAAGTTTATATTAATTTAATTTTTATTTTTATCATATTCACATAAAACATATATTTGGATATAAGTAATATGTTTATAACAATTCATCAGTATTATACTGACTTATTTATATACATTGGAATATTTTGAAATATTTTTTATGAATTGTTCCTTTATAATAAAACAGACACCTTACTAAATGTATTTTTGGCTATTGCTGTTGACAATTTGGCCAATGCTCAGGAATTAACTGCAGCTGAAGAAGAAGAAGCAGAAGAAGATAAAGAGGTAATATTATAAGACACAAACCATTAAACTTTAAAATGTAATTATTAATAATAAAAAATTAAAACTTTAGCAATTGATCAATTACATAGAAAAAATGCTGCATGTTTAATTGTATTGATTGTGGTTATAATTATATTTTTTGAAATTAGTTTTTTAAAATCTTTGTCATTAAAAATATTTTAATATTTGATAAATGTTATGCAAATATTGTTTAATAAATTTATTAGAATTTATTTGTTGTTTGATTAATGTAATAATTGATATAATTGAATTGCATCTAGAAGTTTTTAACTGCATAAAATGCATAAACTGCTGAGTTTCAGAATAATATTTTTGATTGACTGCTATTACTTTACATTGGTTGCTAACATTACTTAAAATAATATGAAAATTTATTACTAATACATGATGTGCTAATATTGTTAAAAATTTACATTATTAAATTGCTTTAAATTAAATGAAAACTGCATAATTTGAAAAGATGTATTGATAATTTTATTTTAATTCCCTTTTTATATGCTTTTTATTAACGTACTCTGTTTGTTTGTCCACTGACTGTCCATCTAAAGTAATTCTCACCCACTTCCCAATTTCCAATCTTGTTGAAACTTTGTATACATACATTATGTATTCCCAATGACAGTACATTTTTTAAGAGTTTGCAAACAATTTTAGCAATTAGCAAAAACTTAGTGAAAAAATAAAATTTATAAAAATCTGATGATGGGTGATGCTAGATGTAGGGCAAATCATTACCTCTTTTCAGTCATACTATCTACATAAATCCAAGAAAACTGAAAGCTAAAGAAAATTTATTTTTTTATTTTTTAGTGCATTAAGGGAATAAAAAGCATTTTGTTAAAACTATTTTTTAATATTTTCTATTTAGTTTAACCCATTTAATTAATTAAAACAATATTCCATGATAGCATAATTACTTTTATGAAAGATTATTATTTTTAATATATTAAAATTTAAAAAAAAAAACAACAACTCTTTGTTTAAATTGATTAATTTATATTGTTTAGTTAACAGTCATCGAAGCCACTGAGATTTCTTATAATGGAAAATATACTTTGTATATTATTGCATCAGATTTCCTTGGATCATTTATATAAAAACATAGATTTATTAAATATGCAGTATTTTAATTTAAAACATANTTATTACAAATTTATATATTTCTGGAACTTAGAATACAAATTTTTTTTAACTTTCTAAAGAGTACTAATTTGATTTACCATAATTTTGTATGGATAACCCATACTGATATGTAACCTGCAGAAAATTATTAGAATGGAAATAAACCTTTTTATGATCCACATCATTGCATATTCCATGCCTTCCAAGTGGGTAATGAAGGCATGACACCAGTATTAGGGTATCTATTGGAAGTGATAATTCAGGTAAATGTCAGATGTTTTAAAAACTATTAGTTAAGGCCATGTAAAACTTGGGCTATTTTAAGACAAAGATCTATCTTGAACTCGCAACCCTCACATAACAGGTGAGTATGTTACTGATTGCATCATCCATTCTCTCCAGGTCAGATCTTTTTCAGACATGAAAGAATTTGTTTGAAGAAGATCTGACTTAGAGACTAACATATGACCATTATGGTTATTTATTCCTAAAATTCTAACTTAGCTACTTAGCTACTAGCTTAAATTAATCAAGAATGTTATGTAACCCAGTAATTTCATGTTAATTATTTGTATATTTGTTATATAAACATAACTTCAAAATAATAGAATATGAAAAGTCAGCCAGACATGTAAAAGTTGAACTATAACAACTGATATTTTACTAAACATGTATTTATTATAACAACAGACCATGTGTTTAATGGAAAATTAATAAATAAAAATTAATTAATTACTAATGGAATATTTTACATATTTTTTTGGCAAGAGAAAATAATAATTTTATAAAACTGATAAAATCAAATATAACTGTTATTGCCAAATCACTGGATAATAAAATAATTTTTAGAATTAAATTAGAAATTTATTTAATGATTAGATAAAGGTAGACATATTGCTATATTTTGAAAACTTAATGTTTAAATTTGATTAATTAAATATATTAATTTATGAAAATCTGCAAAGCAATTCCTTTATTTGGAAAGAGACTCAATTCTACATTCTTCACAAACCATCTGAATATAATATTTTTTTTATATCACTTAAGCATTTTGAATCAATTCCTTTCTAAACATTATTTTAGAGTTAATACCCATAATGTCAGATATTATCATGCCAACAAAGAACAGAATATTTTATCAGAAGATCATTAATGTCTTTCTGGCTAGCTACTACATATACATTACTGGAAAAGTGTACATATTTAATGTTAAAAATGATAATTGTTGACTAGATATATGTTAAATATATCTATCTATTTAACATATATAAATGTTTACATAATATTGTAAAATACTGTTAAAATCACATTTTTTGTTAATAATTGTAATAAACTTTTAGACATTAAAGTAATAGATCATGTGCAATGATATTTACAATGTTAATCATTAAATATCAGCTTGGAAAGTTTCATTGTATGAGGATAATTATTTTCACTTTGTTGTTAATTAGTGGTATTCAGTTACATATATAATGCTTTTATATTGTTTTACATTATTAAGTACAGATTACTGGTGTAAATAATTTGTTATGCAAAGTTATGCAAAATGAAATATAAGTCATATTTACATACCTTTAATGATAATTATAACAAACTGTTTGGCATTTCTATAGGAATAAGCAGTGATGAATTACAATTAATAGTATTTATATTTTTATGAAAAATTTTCACAAACGATGATCACAAGTATAAAGAATTAATGCATTATTTTTTTCATTTAATAATAATTAAATTATTATGTAAGTTCTGTAAGTTATGAATCTGTTTTTATTTGAAGAGTAAGTAGACAATTATCAATGACTTTCTAACTGAAGATAAAATAATTTGATTACATTTTCAAACTTTTTAATTTACTTAATGATTAAATTACATTTAATTTATTCTAAATCTATAACATTCAAATGATAAATAATGTCCTCAAAAATTATGTAATAAAATATCTGGTGAAATTATTTAGAAATAACTTATATACAGTACATAAGTGTTTATACAAATGTACAGTTTGTAATGTATCTAAGTCAAATACTGTATTCAGTTTTCAATTGGAATGGTAATACTAAAATGCAGATATATATGCTATCTTTAAATTAATATGCTTTTAAATGACCCAATTTTCATTCTTTAGACAGCATAATCAGTAGCATTTTCATATCATTTGTACAAGTACAAGGTTTGAATAATGTTTCAGGTTCTTCTTTTCCAGAATTTTTGCAAATTTAATTTAATTTATAAATTAGTTAATTACTGTTTTTAATAGATGGCAACACTCTTATCTTAGTATGAAATTTTTTAGTCATTGAAAAATTTTAGTTTAATTCAAAAAATTTTTTATACCCAGTGAATTTATTAATAGATGGTTACATTTGATTTAAATATGATCAGATGCTAATTATTAATATTACTAGTTATTTTTAGTAAATAAAGTAATCTGTTGTTAAATTTTTGTTTGGAAATTTTATTTTTATTCCAGTCTTATATTCTGTAATATATAGCATAAATAAGGAAAAAGAAATAAGACATTAAATGAAACTATCAATTAAAAATATTATTGCATTCTCAATGGATTGTTTTTTATTTAGAATCCAGTATGATCATATTAATATTAACTAATATTTGTTTAATTTTAATAAATATCTCTTACAGAAAATAGTGAAAATACTACATTTAATTCAGAAGTTTAAGTGTTATCTAAATATAATGTCTAATTTTTTTTTTCAAGCAAGTAGTTATAAGCTTTATATTGACTTCTGTCTTTTATGTAAAATTGTGTTCATCTATCTTCCTTCTACGATTTTTACAATAAAATAATGAACTGAATAAAAAATATAAATGCAATAAAATAATATTTTATTGCATTTATATTTTTAATTAAATGTATTTAATTAATGTATTTTTAATTAAATGTATTTAATTAAAAATATGCATTTGTATTTATAATTTTTCATTTATTGATTTTATAATGTTTTTACCTTTAAAATTGTAAAGAATTAATATTTATGACTCATTAATTTATAAACATGAACAAATGCAATAAACATTTTCAGTTAATATTTCTTTGAATTATTAAAAAGTTAACAAGATAAAAACAAATTAAATGTAATATAGTTTTAATCTGTAAGATTTTTTGTATTTATTTGAAATAAATCATTTTTTCATTGAAAACTTATTACAAATTTATATATTTCTGGAACTTAGAATACAAATTTTTTTTAACTTTCTAAAGAGTACTAATTTGATTTACCATAATTTTGTATGGATAACCCATACTGATATGTAACCTGCAGAAAATTATTAGAATGGAAATAAACCTTTTTATGATCCACATCATTGCATATTCCATGCCTTCCAAGTGGGTAATGAAGGCATGACACCAGTATTAGGGTATCTATTGGAAGTGATAATTCAGGTAAATGTCAGATGTTTTAAAAACTATTAGTTAAGGCCATGTAAAACTTGGGCTATTTTAAGACAAAGATCTATCAGATTTTTTTCTTATAAGCATGCAAATGAGTATGTTTTCATGGTGATGTATGCAGTGGTGATATTCGAAATATTCAACAAAGGGTTCGCTAACAGAAAAGTTTTCCTTAAAGCCCCAAGCCCGAGATATCTCGGGCAAGTTACATAGCGTTACATAAAACTCGGGCGTTTGAACCCTCTAAAATTTTTTTTTAATTTTTGGAATGTATTTTAAGTCTCCAAATTTTTTTCCCGCGCGAAAGAATTTTATCGCGATTTTAATTTATCTTTAATGACGCACGATTCACGCTTAATTGCTTTTTAATTGTTTTTTAATGAGAGTTTGATATCAAATTTTATTCATCGTTCTAAAGTTGTAGTGCACAAATTTTTCTTCG